GAATTATTAGGTTTTTTAATTTTATTATTTTGGAATTAGATTTTGACTAGGATTTTAAATAGTTTAGAATTCTAGTTTCCTATTCTCTAAGGTTTCCTAATTTGTGTTGATTTAAGTTTCTAAGCTAATTTTAGAATTACTTTTCCTACAAGTATTAGGTTTAGTTTATTATAAATAGCTATATAAGCCTCATGGCAATGACAACTTTTATTCATTCAATCAATAATATTAAGATATTTTCTCTTCTTTGTGGATTCAAAGTTCTATTTTTTTCATAGACTCGAGAGCCCTTTTTGTCTATTAGAACGATATCTAGTCCCACACGGAAGAGAAAATACCTTAATATTATTGATTGAATGAATAAAAGTGGTCTTTTCCATGAGGCTTACATAGCTATTTATAATAAACTAAACTTAATACTTGTAGGAAAAGTAATTCTAAAATAAACTAGGAAACTTAAATCAACACAAATTAGGAAAAATTAGAGAATAGGAAACTAGAATTCTAAACTATTTAAAATCCTAGTCAAATCTAATTCCAAAATAATAAAATTAAAAAACCTAATAATTCTAAATTATTTACACTAAATTACAAGAATCTTAATAAGATAATATATCAAAAATATTAAAACTAAAAATACAAAAATTCTTAAAATCTTGTCCTACATCAGACTCCTCTTCTTTGAAAGAACTCGCCCTTGAGTTCATATTAGAGATATGCCGTCTTCCATGCCAAATAAAGAGATATTTTGAATATTTCAGTTGTTTGTCCCTTTTCCAAAAATTATATGCAGAGAAGTCTACTTTCTGAAAGTTATTCTCTATATGCTTCAACTGGTTGATAAGATCAATTATACAAGCATTGAAAATCAAATTAAATTGCTCCACACCAAGAAAATCAACGAAGTGTATTTTATGGTGATGTTGGATACTCTTTGGACTCTGCTTTGTCTTAAATTCAGTTGGACATTCAATTATCAATCTTGGAATATCAATTGCATCCTCAATCAACTTCTCTGGTGCACATGTCAACTTTATTACCTCATCTTTTATTTCTTCATTTTCATTGAGTTCAACTAGATCTCATTCTTTTACAATCTTATAACTATCATAATAATCAAGAGATGATAGTTCTATCATTAGAAGCTCCTGGCTAACTTCAATGTTTTTCTCTTGCTTCACCTCTTCATTGTCTTTTTCAAATTTCTTAATCAAAGTAATTTCAGTGACCTCTCTTTCATCAATTTCAACGTTCTTACCATTCTTGAAATCAACTTGATTTTCTACTTCAATTGAATGTCCATTTGGGTCTTCCAAATTTTGAAACATTGAGGTACTTAAAATCTTTTCTTCTTCAATGTGTGGTTGAGTGTGACAAATTTGTTGACCTACAAGACTTGATTGACCCAAACTTGGCAGAACCATAGTCATGTTCCTCGAATAATCTATATCCACAATTGCAAAAAATAATTATTGAATTGCGAAGAATATTGTGAATCAGAATTACCTTGGAACAATTGTTTCTGTTAGGTTTTTGTTCTTGGCAACCCCGCTTGACAAAACTCCTTTCAGTTGTACTTGTTTTTGCACTTTTATTTCAGTGAGGCTATGAGTTTATTAGATGCGAATCTAACCTGAATCGTGCCTTGCAAAGAAGTTTTGTGATGTTAATTCTTTCAAGATTGCCACTTCGCTAATTATGACGGGGATTGAGTGGCCCGGTCAGCTCGCGGGGGTCCAAGGGGTAGGGCCCTCAAAGCAAAATGCAAAATTGCATTCGAAGTTGCATGTCCGCCCTTGCTCGCTCGAGCGAAGGAGTGCTCGTTCGAGCGAAGGCTGCGTCTGGCAAAAAACCTGAGAAGGATGAATGTACGCTCAAGCGCAAATTGTTTGGCTCGAGTGAAGCCACTTGTGGAAAACACGCGTTTTTGGTTCCTCGCTGGAGCAAGAGAAGCTTCACTCGAGCGAGCTTCGCAGTCCCAGATTTCTCTAAGTATTTGTTTTTGTCCTAAACTAGGATTACTGCTCCAGATCTTCTTTTTGGATATTAAGGTTTATATCTGGGGATATTTTGCTAGTTTTCTTTGATGTTTAATTGAGTATTCAACTCATGGGTTAAGAAGAATACATCAAAGGTTTGTTTGTTCATTCTATACAAAAGAGAGAGTTGTTCTTCAATGGATTCTGAAGAATTTGAGCTTGAAGCTTTGGTGGATTTTGGAGTGGCTCACCGTCAAGACAATTCCGAGGTGAAGATGGGATTGGAAAAGGCACATAGGGGTTGGTTCAATTCGGGCGTGAATTCGCTAGGTAATCGAGAGTATACTTGTGTAATTCCTTTATATCTTTTTAGTGGATTGTTTTGTGGCTTTTGCCCGTGGTTGTTTTTATCACAATTGGAGGTGTCCAATTGTGATTTTTTCATGTAAAATCGTTGTGTCGATTTATCTTGATTGTTTGATTGGGATTGTTGGTTACTGCTTAAAATTGATACATAATCACAAATCAACATCTAGGGGATTTCTAGATTTTTCAGTTTCGATTCAAGCTTTCTTTGATATTGTTGATACAACATTTGCCCATGATTTAATTGAAGGAATCTAGAACTTCATCAACTTCCTCATCTTTTGCCATGTCCTAAGAGGTTATTTGTATTGTCGCCTTCGATCATACTGCAATTGTTTCCCCATGTAGAAACATAACCTTGTAACTTACGTGTGACATATTTGGCTTACTTTTCTTCAAAGATTTCCATACACTCAAGGAATTTGTCAACTTTGCAAAACCAATAAATAAAATCCTCAGCATGACAAGAAGCATTAAAATAGGGAATTTCTAGTGGTACTTGATAACCTGAAAAGTTATGATTGATGCAATTATTGCTATTGAATAAATCACTGAATCTTCGTTGTTGTCTTACCGACTGGAATTCAACATAATCCTCGAATAACTCATATTCAGATTCGTCATCACTATCGTATTGATAACAAGAAGATCATCTCAAGACATTATGGTTAATAGGTTGGCATTAGGCAAATCTCATAGCGCGGTTCCTATTAACGTTGTGACTAACAGGTTGGCCACTACAACAAATTGGTTCTTTAATGACAAAATCACTTCATCTCCAATAGTGAAATTTTCGTCACCAAATTGATCTGTGATGAAATAATTTCGTCACCACGTTCATCATCAATTTGTTGTCACTAAAAATACCTGATGACGAAAATTTATTTTGTCACCTATTATTGGTATTTGGTGACAAAATATTTCGCCACAAAATGTTAAATATTTTGTCACCTATAACGTCCATTTCATCACTAGAATTAAATAAAATTTTATTATATTTGTTTTTGATGACAAAATATTTCGTCATTAAAAATAGCGATAGAATTTTTAGTGACAAAAATATCGTCACCAAAAGATGGGGAAAAAAAACCCTTCAGTGATGAAAACTTTTGTCAACAAATATTTTAATTTAGTGATGAAATAGTGAATATGTGTGACGAAATTATTTGTTGGGATTAGAAAGTTATAGTGTCAATTTTTTTTCGTCGCCAATAATAAATAAATTTTAAAAATTGGGGGGAGGGTTATATGTGCAATTTATATATATTTTTCAATAAACAATACCTGTACATTTTAATAATCTATTAAATAAAATATCTAAAGCAAATCAATATAAAATTAAACTGTTCATTATCATAAAGCAACCAAGCAAAATACATGTCTCATAGTATCAAGAAATTAATATATAACATCCAAACTATAACATCTATTCTAGTAAAATCAAAAACTACAACAGAAGCAAAATAACTTGTGCATTTTAATAACTTGCTGAATATAATATCCATTACAAATCATTACAAAAACCTGTTCATTTAATATCAACAAAAAGATAAGATCCATCAAAATATAATTATAACCCACAACAACATAGTCAAAATACATGTTTGGTAATATCAACAAAAAGTACAACTACACCGTGATGGATGTGTCTGGTAATATCAACAAAAAACTCTTGCTATGCAGGTTACCAAATTTGTTCATCTCCAATCTGCCATTTAAAAAAAAAAAAAAAGAAAAAAAAAAAGAAGACAACAACAACAAAAGGTTAAGGTAACCATTCACTAAATATGTTAATATGCAACCTAGAAGAGAAAAAATAAAAATTTCAAAGAAAATTTTAAACCAAATTTTACTGTGCTTGTTCTGTAAATTTTTACAACTTATATTAATTCCTCCCAAGGTGTTCATGATATTTCTCGGCCTTTTAACGACTATTTCAAGATTTTACTCCCTAACGGCCTATTTTCAAGCCTAAATGTTTTCCAACCGAGAGTCCTATGATTGTTCTGTAAGTTTTCACAACTTATGTTGATCCCTCCCAAAGTGTTCATGATAATTTCTGATAATCTCAAGGTGTTTGTGATGTTTTTCGGGCCTTTAGATGCGTATTTCACTATTTTCCCAGTACCTTGTGCCTAAATGTCAAAAGTAGTTTTTGTTCTACCCTAGTTGAAGAATAAATGTTCTACTAAATTAACATATAAACATAATCTACTAACCAAGAAGCTTGTCCGTCAGAATCTGAACTTTCCCCACTCTCAAAATTTCCCGTAATACCTTTTTGCGTCAAACACTCTATGATACTTTGTATCTTCATGCTTTGTTTCTTCTCTGACTTTTGAAACCTTGCAATTTGTTCATTTCGCTGTGCTATTTTCATCTCGAGGCGTTGAACATAGTCATTATTTTCCGCAGGTGCAACAGTAGTCTTCATAGAAGAAGAAGGCCTCTAGCCGAGTCCTTTCACATAACCTGACCTTGGCTTAAGCACATATCCTCTGGGCTCAAGGGGATCACACCAGTCTGTGAGAGGTGTTCTGCTTGTGTCTGTATCATGTTATCCTGTTAATTTAAAATAAATCGAACAATTATTAGTTATTCTACCCTACAAAGAAAATAAATTATCTTATCAAAATTAATATGCTTTGCCTTGTACATACATAATTAACTTGGCTCTCTGACAAAATCCATTCATGCGTGTTCGAATTATAGTGGATGGACTTGTAAAATTCTGCCAAATTAGGCACTCCTCCATTTGCAATTATCTGATTCATTTGTTTTTGAATGTTATTTCAAATATTTAAATAACAAATCCTAGTAATCTGATAAAATAAAATAGCAGAACACACCGAGCTGTGCACCCTGACCGGGATTGATTTTGATCCACATCTATGTTTTGTTTTCATTTGCATCCTATTATTCACATTAGTTAGTGATTGTTCCTACACGATTGAAACACCAATAAAAACAACAAAACTTAACATTAGTAAGAAGAAAATTAATTTTTGACAATTAACATAAAACATTATACCATGAATTCTTTACTATTCCACTTCTTGTCAATTAGAGATGTCCATTGATTAAGAGTAACACTTGCAGGTGGATGGATTCTTGCGTACTCCTCCCCTCTTGCATCCTTAAGTTGCTTGTATTGTTTGTGCAACCTATAAGTGAAGCTACTCAATTGTCGACCAAACTGTGTGTTTAAAGTCCTTGCTACATCACTCGGATTGCCTTGTAGATCAAACTGATCCTGCAAAAACAAATCATTTTTTTTATAAGTTAAATAACCTAAATTTTATTCACATACACAATTAGACATAGCAGCAGCCAACTGTGATACACACATTTTATTTTGTTGGTTTCACTAGTTATATTAGAATTTCATGGAAGCTCTCAAATCTAATTTCACACTGACCAGAAATTCTATATTTAGATGTTCATTTTATTTTATTTTCCTATAAATGTGAAATTTCTCTTTCATTGCTAAAAAGTTAGTAAGTAAACAAATGCAAGTTAGACCTTAAATTGAATATAAACAACTTTGCAAACTTACCAACACTGCTAGATGCAGTCACCTCATGCTCAGGTTGCACATTATGTGGTGGTAAGGGTTGGGTACCAACCTCTTGACCTGGGGGATCCATCCTTTCCTCTGGGATGGGAGTTAATGGCTCCGAATGAGACTGTAAACGAAACCCCGGTGGCATCTCTTATTCCTGATGAAATAACATAATCAAATAGTAAATAAGATATTTAACACAGTTAAAATATATTTTAAAAAAAATATGATGTTTAAGATATGTGAAGAAGATATTTAAACAGTAAAAGACATGTTGACACACAAATATAAAATAATGTATAAAATACCTTGCGGTAAAAGGAATCCAATGACTCATCATCACTGTCGTTCTCACTCTCTGACGGTTTATACTCATCATCATCATCTACCTCAACCCTAATTCCATTTTCCTTTGCATTTGCACATTTGGGCTGAATGATAGTCATCAAAGAATTTGTAATATTCTTCACTCCAAGATTGTTCATTATCTCACAGTTCTTCTTGGTTCGGTTATTTCTTTGTTTCTCATATTCTGTTAGCTTCTTAGTTCTCAAATCATCGAGTTTCAGCCATTGTTTTTTTCCTTTGACCAATTTCTACAACTATATAACACCATTCAACTTTAATTGGAAAATATAGACAATATAATTATGAACCATTAAATAAAAGAAGAAAAACATAATCCCAAAATATCCAAAACACCTTAATTGAAAGGTACTTCACGTAAGCTTGCCATACCAAATAGATTAAATGTTTCTAGTGAACTTGTTGCCAAACCATAATCCAAAAGGTAAGAAATTTAAACCTGGCACATAACAAAAACTCAAAAACATTACTCATCATGATAAGGCAAAACAGCAGCAGCAGCTCAGGCAGAGCAACAACAGCTCCATAATTCTACAACTATCAAGTTGCTCCATTATTCTAAACAATGGGATCTTTGTATAAGGTAGAGCAGCACAGCAGCAATAGCCACAGTAGTCAGCTGCAGCCAAGGCCAAAGTCCATAGACAGAGCACCAATAGCAGCCAGCTGCAGCTAAGATCATAGTCCGCAGACAGAGTAGCTAATACTACACAGCTCTCTCTATGGCTTAGTTAGACAGTTATAGTCAGGTTTAGTTAAACAGAGCAGATAAAAGTTAATTTGGTTGGGGAAGCAAGCTAATTTGGCTAATTGTATTGTTGCTGGAGGTGGGTTTGGTGAATCAATGGTTGAGCCATGGTTGGCTGCTCATGGTGATCCTTCTAGGTAACATGCGTTTGGTGTTCTTACTCATTTGTTCATAATTTCAATTTTTATACCTTTGATTAATTTTGGGTTCTGCTTTAAATTGGAATTAATAGTGATATGTAATTCAAGTCTCACTAGTCTGAACTATGGAGTTTTTGAAAAATGCATATTTTCATTCTGCATAACAACGACGTAATTCCAATTCCATGGAAATCCATGAAAAATCGCGTCTTGAATCAGCAGAACCTAAATACAACATTGAATGGGGACCAACAAGAACAAAGAAACTACAACCAAAGTCCATATAACTCTATTGGCATGAAAGCTATGAACCAACATCTCTATTATAAAGCAAGAACTAACAAGATAGACAACCGTTTAATGATGTCCAACTTGGGGTTTGCTTTTCATTTGAATCTTGTAAGTGGAATTCAATGCTCATTCACATTCTACATGTGAAATAAATTGATAATATTGTCCATTGGTTATATCAATAGTACAGTGGTTTCTTATTTTGCCTCATGCACATAATTCTAAAAATATTAATAGATGCATAATCAACCATATAGTGGTTTGATGGAAAATTATTACTTTTAAAAATACATACAGGTAAACAAATTAATAAAGATGGGGGCATGTTCATGCAAGAGAGAGAGAGAGAGAGTCTGAAGAAATGGTAACTAACATAAGTTTTGTAATCAAGCTTTTCTACAATGGAAGCATCAGTTATGGTATTCACATTGGCTTCACATTGGTTCATCCGGTGGTTCTCCAAAACGCTAGATCACTACACCATTCCATCTCACCCTCTCACCATTCTCCAAAACACTATTTCACATGTTTTCTACAATCTAAAAAAACATTACAAACAAACTTTACAAACGCGCGCGCGTGCGCACACACACACACAAACATATATATAAGATCAAATAATTCAAGATTAACTCTCATTCCATAAGAATCGACATACTACACATTCAAATGGACAGGTTTGGATGGGTTTGGGTGGGCTATAAATGGGTTGGGTTGGGATGGAAGTGCTGGCAGGTGCGGTGGCTTTAAGGGTGGTGGGGAATGGCGGTGGTAGAGAAGTGGTTGTGGTAAGGTAAGTGATGGTGGTTGCGTAGTTGGGCTGACTCAAAGAACAAAAAATAAATAAGTTGGGTTAGGTTATCTAATGGATAATTATTAGGTAGTTTAGTACTTACCCACCATGTAAGATTCAACTCTCTTTTTTTCTTTTTTCTTTTTTTTTTTGTAAAGATTCATTTTAAATAGGTATAAGTAGGTCATGACTCATTTAAATTTCTAATGAGATTGGTCTGTACTTTCCCTTCTATTTCTCTAGGAGGAATCTAGCATGCATAGTTTACCAAACGAAAAAAAATCAAATTTGTACTTTCTACTACAAGTATAATGTATAACTTCAAAGTCTCATGGAATCTACAAGGCCCAATAAAGCGAAAAATAATATATAACCTAACTTTATTCATTAATATATCAAATTCAGGTACTGTTTATTTCAAAGTGGAACTGGTCTGAATGGTTCTGAACCCCTAAATGATTGAAAACTTTACATCTTGTAAGAACAAACTCATGAAACCTAGAGATTCATATCTTTCTAGAAACTTATTTATATTGATTTCCTTGTTGAGAAACCAAATTGTGAATATTTTTATTTTTTCAAAAAAGGCATGCCCATTAGAAATATAATGAATCAATTATGTCTCACATGAATGGACAGTACTTGTTCCAAGTTATATGAATCATATTGAGACCCAATGATGTTTTTAACTAAAGATGAAATATAGCATTTTAAGTTAGTGACATTTTGGCTAAGCTCCAAACATTGTATACAACATACATACATATAAATACCCCTAAGTGAAGGGGGAGGAGGATGTAGCTCATGAGACTCAAATCACCAAGCTAAGCCTTGTAATGGAGAAGACATTTTGATAATGGTAATTTTTCTAAATTTAATAAAATAATAGTAGTCCAAAAGCATAATGTAGGCAACAAATTAATCAGTGTTTTAGTGGGTCATGTAAGAGGTCTTAACTAAGTTAAGAAATTAAGTACCAAAATTCAAATAAAATGGTTCAATGGAAAATAAATTCAAGCTTCTTTACAGAAAATAAGTAAACAATGGTTCAATGGAAGCTGCGTAAATGGCCAAATTCCACAACCCCAAAATAAGTAAACAATGGTTCAATGGAAGCTGCGTAAATGGCCAAATTCCACAACCCCAATACACAATCTTCTTCTCTCGACACAAATTCAGCCCTTAGGCCTATTTTCAAGAGGTAAGATCAGATTAACATGAACAAAGAAGCAAACACACTAACAAGCAAGGCAAACCCAGAATTGGTAATATAGCACCAATTGAATATTTGGCTTTCACAAGCCCCTAATAGCAAAAATCAACCCAACAAGAAGAAAATCAAGACATGTGCATCCAAAAGAATAGTTATAAAACCCTAATAAAAAATAGAAAACATAGATATGACAGAGCCAAACAAATATTCGAAGATAATGAAATTCAAGTATCAAATCAGAAATTGAGAAAGGGTTTGTAAAGCACGGGGCATGCTTGGGAATTTTGAAGAGGAAATTTCAAAAATGGAGTGATTGTGAAAGAGAGAGAGAGGGAGAGAGAGAGAGAGAGAGAGAGAGGGAGAGGGAGAGGGAGCGGGGAATCCAAACGTACCTCAAGAATGGAACCATCAATCGTCGCTGCCGCCAAATGGAGAGCACCGTTCGAAGTCGAAGTTTTGCGCCGCATGAACCAGTCTTTCCTTTGAACCCTCTCTCTTCTCCCTCTCTTCTACTAGGTTTTGCAGCTTACAAATTCTATGTTCAGAAGCCAAATGAAAAAAATTAGTAAGCTATTTTGGGTTTTCTTTTGCCGCTCAATTTTCCATCCGAAATTGGTGACAAAATTATTTCCTCACCAAAAGATAAAATTATTGACAAGGGAACTAGTTTTCTCACTAAATGATATAAAAATATTAAAAATTATTAGTAACGGAAATATATTCGTCATTAATAATTTTAGAATTGGTGGCCAATTTTTTCCTCGCCAAAAGTCTTAAAATTTTGGCACCATCCAAAAAAAATAGCAGAAAAATCTTCAGTGACAAAAAAAATAAAAATAATGACGAAAAATAATTTCGTCACCTAATTTTTTTATTATATATGTTGTGACGCCTCGAATCTACACTATTGGTTGCAGTCAAGGGAGAGTCACTAATGAGTCCTATGGTCAATAACTAAGTAAGATCCCAGATCGCCGGAGGAGTCAAATTAGCCTCCCTTCTAAGTCCGGCTTTCTTAGGCAGCGCACTACCCTTTTGACAGATCTTAAAAGGTATTGACACAAGGTCTTATAAGCAACAATAAGGTTCATACATATAAATATATAGAACATAAGTACATAACAACCTCGAATATTCTTAATTCCAAAGGCTTGTTCCATTACATTACATCCCAAAAGGAAAATTTAAATCGTCACATGAGCCATACAAAATATCAAAAGGGATTTCTAACTTTCCTAAGATGGCCAAAAGTCTTTGAAGGTTTCAGGCTCGTCGTCTCCAGCTATAAACTCCTCTTCGGCACTTGGCATGACACGCCGTGAGCTTTGAATGCCCAGTAAACACACACACACCCCATCCCTTTTTCCCAGTCCAATACACAATCACAAATATAACATCAAATAGTAAAGCATGATACTCAACCAAATAAACAAAGGGTTGCAAGTTAGATGTTAGTAAACTAGAAATCCCCCAAAGAGATTTCGTCCTCCCAACCACAAGAATTGGACACCAGACTATTCGGAACTCCCCCTTTTGCTACTTTGTTGCAGAACTAACCTCGGATGCCTACCAATGGTTATATATCGCGTAGCGTCAACCGCAGGGCCTCAAAAGGGATAGCGAAAAGAAAAAGTTTTATCTCCTGAATCCGGCCTCATCCTTCCAGAAAAAGTTTTATCATCTTGAATGTCCTATCCGGACCCAACCTTATCTCACCATTCAAACCGTCGCAAGGAGTCCGAATACGTCCGTTCCATTCTAGGGTTTACGCGACAACTGCTTGCGCAAGACTTTAACTTTCAAATAGGGAACGCATCCCAAAAATTCATATATCACATATTCTCATCTTTTCATTACTTAGTGCTCGACAACCCAATACCCTCCCAATTAGGTTTCCCGTTGAGTTAAATGTTTTAAGACAAGGTTAGTCCAACTTACAAGACAATAATATCCACATAAGCATGCATCCTTAAGATGAGAAAGATGAATAGCGTAACATAACACATACAATATCATGCCAAGATATGATCATAACCTATTAAACATTTTCATGAATACAAGGGCATAAAACATCCATACATAACAAAATTTTCAGATTTAATATCACATAAAGATTAAAATGAAAGGACTATTTTAGATCCTTCACCTAACAAAATTTCCA